ACTTTGAATTTCGGCATTTCGACAATTAAATTTTATTTGTCGAAATAGTATTTAATAATTTCAGCTTGACAGGTTGCCGAAATTCCTGAATTTCGGCAAGCATCCTTACTCACAGGAAAGCAAAATTTGGTAAGTATAGAGAGAATGTGACTATAAGGAGATTTTTTTTACTATGTTTATATATAAATAGGAAAGCAAAATAGGGTGACTATTGTTATCATTTTGAGCTTTTGCGTATAAAAGTATTTCAAAATGGCAATAATAACTGCGTTCATGACAATTTACTTTGAATATTATAATTAAATAGTATTTGTGACAATAAAATAATGTTTCTTGACAAGATAAAAGATGACAAAGATACTAAACTAATAACAAAACTAAACTAAAAGATAAACTTAACCAAAAATTACTTATAATTCCAAAATAAAATCAATTTAACATGTCAAACTCGACATTTAACCAAAAGAAACTCAAAATCAAAACTTAAGAATTTAAAATATGAACTAGAGAACTTGATTTTTATTAATTATTAGCACTTGTATTTATACATGTTTTCATGTTACAGTGGTACAGTGTGGCACAATAATATGCAGTATGACGCAGCATGATATAGTTGCAGCACAGCATATGGCACAATAGATCTATACTAATAATATGAAATTACTGGTTCTCTTTTAAATTACACAAAATTTAATTACATTATCATTAATAATCTTGTTCTATATCTAAGTACCAATAGCAAAAATAGAAAATAAAGACTAAACTAATATAGATAATGATGAAATTTACCAAAAAAATGATGTGATTAATATATTCAAATAAAGATAATAATAAGATAAATATAGAAAAATAAGTAATACGAAAAAGAAAAGAAAAAAATAGAAAAAAATAGAAAGAAGTAGAATGTTATCAAACTATCTATGTAATTCAAATATTATTATGACTAATCGTAACTGCATCTTTTGTTCACATATTCTTATATTAAATTATTAATGATTATTAAATCAGTGATACTATAGAGAGATGTAACTATAAATGGATGTGACTATAAAGGTATTTGACTGTATAGCAAATATGAATTCATATAGCTGATAAATTATAACTTGAATTTGTATAAAAACAACATGTATCATAGTTATTAAAATTAGATATAAATAAGTTCTTTTAGATAATAGTTCTCAATTATCATATCTAATTAATTATCACATAGTTTTAATCATTCAAAGAAACAAAGTTTGCATTTTATGTAGAGTAGGTAATTAAGTACAAACTCCTCTCTATGCCCTTTTGACAAAATATTCATTTTCTTGTATAATAACTTTATAATAAGTTATACAGATCTTGAATTAATATATATTATAGTAGCTTAAGCAAAATTTCCAGAAGCATTATAAAAGTTATCATCTTTATTCTAGACTTTTTGAATATATTGTGACAAAGTTTATTGAATATTATATTAAATAAAGAAATTATTATTATAATTTATAAATCTGTCTTTAAGATTGTATTACTAATAATACATTGCTCATAAACTTATCTTTGACTTTGTATTGATAATAATATATTGCTCATAAACTTATCTTTGACTTTGTATTGCTAATAATATACTATTTATATATTTATATTTATCTTTGATCTCATATTGCTGATAATACAAATATTATATCTTATATTCTGACTTCAAAGATTTAAAGACATTTTTAATACGTATATTATATTTGACATTGAGATTTTGAGAACTCTTTTTAGCAGTCTAGTTATTGTGTTAAAAGAACATAACTGTTACCAACTTTTAAGTGATTTTATAAGTACTTGTCATACTTTAATTTATATTCAGTCTAAAGTCATAAAATATTATTAAGACTGTGAATTGTCATAAAGACATTCGAGTTTCCCTTTGAATATTCCTTAAATTTTATAAATATCTTTGAGTATTTCGAAAGTCCAATCAAAATGATAACAATATTATTTCTAATAAAAATCTTTCTGTTGAAGATTATTTTGAATTGATCAAAAATCAAATTGATCTCATATTTAGGTTAAAGTATGAATAAGTTTTTTTTTATTTACAAGTGATTCTTTATTGGAGTTCATTTTAATAAATCTTTGGTAAGACATGCACCAAGATAAATGTTTATACCTATTTGATCTGCTCAGTGACATTCTATTTACCAAGCAATTGAAATGGCTGATGAAAAACAAATGTTATGGTTGAAATCTGAAATTCGCAAGCTAATTCAAGAAAGAATTGTGACTTCACAATCTCAGCTTTCAAATCAATATCAAGATCACGATACAATACTTGAAGAAATTAACAAAGATCTTAAATTGTTAATTTCTTCTGTACCTTCACAGCAATATTGAAAAATTGCAGCGTGGAACTGTACCAAATTTGTGACATTGTGTACTAATCTTTTTAACATTATAAGATATTCTGAAAGTGAAACACATTGATCTCATACACATTCTAGCTTCTTTGCTAAATCATACAGATTTTGAATTCAGATAAGAAAGACTCAATTTGTAGATCTGAATGTCTGCAATCACATTTTTCAAGATATAAGTGCTAAATGAACACTAAATGAAGAAATAAAAAAATTGCATGGATGAAAAAAATAGACTTTATTAAAGTGATGCTAATCAAGAAAATATCGTTAGACATCTGGCAACCAATTCCAGTAACAAGTGAGAAAGCAGATCACCAAAAAGCTAAACATTTGTTAATGAAATCACAATTTTTATCCATTATTAACTTAGAACGATCGTGTTTTTGAGATTTAGCAAGTAAATCTCACAACGATTTAGTAAATACTCTTCAAAACGTTAGAAATGCATTATCCGAAAATATTACTAATAGTAATAATGAAATTTTATAATCAAACGTTTTTTTTCTTTTTGTTCTGTGATCGATGTCCAGAAATTTCTAGATTTTATTTGTCATCATAAAAGGAGATCAAATTTGGACTGTTTTAATGTAAATAGACCTGGATTTTACGTGGAATCTAGGGTTAATATACTTACTATTTTTTAGACGGCAAAAAGATATAGAGAAGGAATTGGAACCAAGAAGTGTTTGGTGGGGGAAAAAATTTACGATGATTTCTCAACGAAGTTCTGGTTAAAACCAGGTATGTTTCTGTAGAAAATAAGTGGGTGGGTATCTCAAATTAACATGCTTCTAATCTATCACCATTCGCTAGAACTTCCATTCGAGCAAGTGCGTAATGAAAATGTTAGTAGGACGAGTTCTCACGAGACATCAGCTTTTTCAATCTCACCTGAACGGCCCAAAGGGAAATCAAGTTCTGAGCAACCATTGGAAAAAGCTGTCGAAACACCTAATATTTCCAGACCCGTTACTCCAACATTACCTTCTTTTTCGCAAAATGTAAACGTGATCAATGTTACTTTTAATTATGGTGGTGCTCAAATAGAAGAGGATTAGGTTTTTTCGTTAATTTACTGTTGTCCGCTAGTGCGAAATATTTATATCTGTAATATGTAGAAAACAAAAGCAAATGTAATAATATATGATTTTTACTTGTAAAATAAACACACGTATATTTTAAAAATCAAATGAATTCTTTATTATATTATTTTCATGAAGTAATAAGTGAGAAAGGGCCGGCCGGCTAAGTAAAAATGAAAACTAATAAAAGATATTGGAGTAGATCTCGTTTAAAGGGAGGAGCAAAACGTGGTGCCCATGGTGTGCAGTTGAAAATCGTCGTACATGAACGATTGAAGATATGAAGAAGTTTGCAGAGAGAAAGGGAGGTCTTTGCCTTTCAACTGAGTATATTAATAGACGGGATCCTCTTGAATGGCAGTGTAAAGAAGGCCATAAGTGGAAGGCTTCGGCAAAAAATATTCTTAAGGGAACTTGGTGTCGAAGATGCAGTACACTAGGTCAAAAACATGTTATACCAGACAAAAAACCTATCCCGGTACAAAGACGTGATCAAGAAGAACATGTTACACGTCAACCTATTGACATAGCAAACAGTATTGCACAAGAACGAGGTGGTAAGTGTCTTTCTACAGAATATGTTAATGCAAGTACTCAAATGCTTTGGAGATGTGCCAAAGGTCATGAATGGTCTACAACTCTTTATCGAATAAAAAATATGGGAAGATGGTGCTCACAATGTGCTGGTAATTTCCCCTGTGGTCTTTCGGAAGCTAAGGAAATCGCTCACAGTAGAGGAGGTATGTGTCTTTCTACAGAATATATAAATCTCTGTGTTCCGATGCAATGGATGTGTAATAAAGGTCATAAATGGTTCGCTAGTTTTAACAGTATTAAGCATGTTAAATCTTGGTGTCCATATTGCTTAAATAAACATGAAAATCTATGTCGCGAAGTCATAACTAACATTCTTGGCTCACCTTCCATCATCCGCCGACCAGATTTCTTGAAAATACCTGAACATCCTCGAGGACTAGAAATCGACATCTATTATCCACAGTATGGATTTGCCATAGAAGTACAAGGTAAACAGCATGAGCAACATATAAAGTATCTTCATAAAAATCCAGAAGAATTTAAAAAGCAGTTGATGCGTGATCAGCTCAAAAAAGAACTTTGCGAAAAGAATTCAATTATTTTGAGATATGTCTGGTATTATGAGGATCCATACATAGTTATTCCAAATCACCTTTGAGAGTTGGGTCTCATTGAATAAACTTATTTTATTTTTTTTTGCGTTGATTCTACATAATCCGATATACCTTGTAAGCGAGAGTTAAAAAAGTCAGCATAAGAAACACATGATAAATATATAGATAATCTGTGCAAAATAAAATTCGAAATTCTTTATTATAACAAATTGCATTGAAATAAAGCATGCTAAAATAGACTAAAATAGACTAAAAGAGCCCAAACCCAGCTATACTAATCATGATATAGTACTCAATTTCATCTATTGCAAAAGAAATTGACGAATTCTGGCAAATGCTTCCAGTACTTCTCGTCTCCCATTTGGTTTTGCAATGTCCAGACCAGCCTCTGGACGCTCCCCTTCTGGCCATCTTTTAATAACAACAGACTCATTCTGTGGTAAGCTGAAATCAAGTTCATTCCAATATTTTGCAGGGATTACAGTTTTGTAAAATGTAAAGTACGAGGAGATGACGCGAACACCAAATATAGTTTGATCCGAAATTACATCAGCTTGACGTGCAATTTGACGCATATTTTCACTCCCACATGCGAGCATCTCGACCGCTAATTGTGCTTCCCCATAACCTTTTGAAGGAATAAGGGCTGTGTTTTTCAATTGTTTATCCTGTTAAAAAAAAAGTTGTTTGAGTAAACAAAATAGAATATTCAAATAATCAAAACATACAAACCTCTACAACGATCACAGTAACATTCTGCCTATTAACTACGAATTCGGGTGTCGCTGAAACATAAGGCTCGCCTGTGACGTATAATTTGCATCGCGGGTGGATTCTAATTTCAGATATAATGTAAATTTTAAGGAAATCGATAGAGTGCACATTACACTCATAATTTCCATATTTCTCACCTAACTCTCAAGGGATGGCAATGCATGCCGGCGACCTGAACTAGTAGATTTGTTATTAGTGTATCAGTCACAGCTTCTTCCGTGCCTTCATCATCACCTAAATTCTTAATAACTTCGTGTAAATCGGTTAAGAATACTTTGACTTGATTGTCCGAAATTTCTTTAAGACTGTCGACATCAAATTCTTTATCTCTAAGTGTTTGGATACTGACTTGGGGAAGAGTATATTTCTCAAAAAAGCTAGTAACTAAATAATATCTAAATTATTAGCATTAGGTTCGCTAAAAAGAATGTTGAACAGCATAGTTTGTACCTTCTATATCACAAGGGAGGATGTCGCACTTAAGAGCTGGCTTGAAGCTCACTTTTAGTGCTCGCAAATCATTTTTATTGAAAGAAGTGGTGTTGAGAATGCTAGTAAAACCCTGTTCTTTAAGCCTGGTTTTAACTAATCTTCGTGATGCCTTAAGGGTATCGTCAAATAATGTGGCAGTAGATGAGAAAAATACTTTTGATTGAAGAGTGCGTGAGATAGGGATAGCAAACTTTGAAACGAGACTGAGAAAAGAAGACATTTTTATGAGTTGAAATTTTTTTTAATACGATGAATATTAGATAAAAATCACGTGCGAATGACAAATTCAGTTGTAACGCAGATGCTACACCAGTGATTCGGGAAATTCGAAATTATATTTACAATTCAAATCATTATAAAACACGCATACAGTAAATCAATCAATCAATCAATCAATTATATTTTTTCATAAAGAAATATGAGAAAGGCCGGCGGCTAATTGTAAAAATTGCTAGAGAAGCAGGGTTTCAAGGGAGGAAATTTGCCGAGCCCTAACCCGTATAATGGCAGTTCCTTCACCGCTACTCAGTACTACGATCTAAATTATTATCTAAACTACTAGTAATTTCTTTATTATCTACCCATCTCATAATTGACATTTGTGTTAAATTTTGGATCCCCTTCACCATAATAAAAACTTTCCACAGTACCCTTCCCAATCTTTTCCCCAGTAAGTTCACGAATTTCACGTCTAACAGTTTCAAACGCATAATCCATAGTATTCCCCATTCTTCTTTCGAATTAAAAACTCGCTTAAAACGGCTCCTATTTTCTTCAAGAGATGAATCAGATAATCGATTAGAAGAACTTTCACTACTAGAGAAATGATTGGCCACACTCAGTTGATCAAAATCGACCTGAAGCCTTTGGGCAATTGCATAACGTTGGATCATTTCATTTCGGAGAGCTTCAATAGAGGTCTTGATCGAAGTGAATTCAGACGAAATGTTACCAAAATCATTACGGCAGGCTTCTTCAATATTATCAAGTTTTGTGGTCACATTATTGACCATCGATAAAATTTTTGCGTCTCAGAGGCGTAGCCAGCATCACGTGAATTGATTTTAGCGATTTCTTCGATAAGTTTCTTATTAAGATCATTATTGATTCTGCCGAGCTCCGCAGTGAAAGTAGTATTAATTTCGGAAAGACGTGCGGAAAGTTCGTTGGCGATTTTAGTGTTATTCGATTTCTGCGGTAAGATTAACATTAATTTCAGATATACGTGCAGAAAGCTCATTAGCGATTTTATTATCATGTGAAGGGAGGTCATTGGAGAATTTGTTTCTGATGACATAAATCAAGAAAAATGCGCTAAGAAGAATAGAAGGTGTAAAGTCTTCAAAGATATGCCACAACGCGTTGTTTTGCAAGACGAGTGCAGACATAATTTCAGAGTGAAGTAGAAAGAAATATTTTCAGGTGTTAAATCACAGGTAGTTTTGCGTAATTTTTTACGATTTATTAGTATGATTTATCGCTAGTGAAGCTAAAGGTGAATCTACATCCCTTTTATACATTTTACAGTCAGTTTCACGGCAAGGATCCCAAAAGAATCAGCCATTAATGCTAGTATAATTAGAAGAGAGAACCTGCGTCGAAATAATAATACAGGCCTGGAATAATTGTGAAATGATATCATGTATATACCCCTTATTTCTGAAAAAAGAAAATTATCAAGATCCTGTCCGGCGCCTGTACCTAAAGACGAAAAAAGTTAGTGCATTCCACACCCCCATAAACAATGAATAATAATAATATTTTTTTCGTAAATGCTTGGCCGTAAGACCTTACGCAAGAGAAAAGTTTTTATTAATAAAAATATTCGTTAGATAGCTTTGCTATTATATAGGTACAGTATGTGAATAAGCTATATTATAAAGTACTATTCTCTTATTTCATTTTTGTCTTTTGTCTAAAGAAAGACCAAAGGAAGAACTAAATATCTGTGTATGAGACGCTGTTCACTTCAGTAAACTGATTATGTGAATATAGTGTATTAACCGAAGGGGTGGTCTCATAGGTAAAGAGAAATTTGATATTTTTTTCTTGCTTCGAACATATAAGAAGGTGGGAGTTCTATTCGTTCGTGACGCAGTTTGATTCAAAGTCGATGTATAATGAATACTCCACCATAATGTGGATCGAAAGTGAAAGGAAAAAATAGGCAGGATATTTATAAAAAATTTCAGATTTCCGCAGGCAGATCCGCATGAATATTTTTGCGAAAAATTAGCCATTCTAGGAATAAAATTATCGGGAGCATTGGCGAGGTCCACTAAAGCCGAGTAGTATCATGTGAAAAACTTCACGTGCTAAATAATAATTGGCTGAATAATTTTGATCAACAGACAAAGCAAGATAGTTTCATGTGATAATAGCCAATATTGACATAATGAGCTTTAACATCCTTTGAATAAATTCACACTAAAAGTACTAATCATAAAATTAGCAAGCAATTTTATAGTGTTTTTGGTTGATAGCAAAAAATAAATTGAACAATTAAAAATTTTATTTGATTGTTGCTAACATTGTTTTCAAGATAACTTCCATCCAAAAACTCTCATTTCATCTGAAATATCATCAAATACTCACTAAAGAACCCATTGGATCCAGTCGTGATGAAACCAGCACAAAGAAACTGGATATCTGAGAAACTCTTACTAACCCTAGCCAATACCAGTGATCTCAAAAAAATATCAACAATATCCAATCAATTTTTGTGGTCCGAATACAAAGAATGTTTGTCTTGATTAGATGAATCAAACGAATCTGAGTTCGCAAAATTCTAAATACAGATCAATGAGATATTGTTGCCTCACGGACCATTTGGTATTTTGTGATTTTTCATGTATTGACTTTGAATATCAATAACTCCACCAATATTGTCCTGATTTTGTTGATCTAAATGCAATTAATTATAGGGCTATATAGATTATAAAGATCTGATCATATGTTTTAGAAATATGAGCGTTCAACAAAACTATTAGTAAATATCAAAATTCTGACAAATTTTAAAATCCATCATAATCAAAATTATGTCAAAATTCTAATTAATAATTAGTATATAATCTGTTGAAATTATGATGATATTTTTCTGAAAGAATTTAGACAAGCATCCTTAGGTGTAACTATATCTATTACTTGATAATAACCAGAGAATACTAACAGTATTACTATTTTTACTACTGATTTGTAATCAGGTATCAGAATAGATGTTGTTATCAATTGAAGTTTCTAACTGTTCTCTATAATTGGAAGTGAGGTTTGTTATTAACTGGCTAAATTGTTGGATGAGAGTAGTAATAATATTACTCAATTTATTTATTTGAGTATTTGGAATATTTGGAGCATATTTATTCATATATACTATTACTGATATTTGATTCTGATATGTCAATTTATAGATCTTTGCTCTATTTAATACAGCAATTCAAGTTTGATTATTATGTGATTTTATTATTAGATGCAATTCAAATAATAAACTATTTATTAATTTTTTTGCTTTCATAGCTTTTGGATATTGAAATCCATTATCTTCTACTCTTTTATATAATTTTTATAGAATACTTGCATAAAAGTTAACATTTTTATTTAAATTTTGTTGTTTCTTTTCTAATTCAGTTGTCCAAACTTCAATCAAGATTATTATATAAAAGATATTTATAAAATTAATATTAAAGTCAGTATTGTTATTATTTCCTGTCCATTGAGTTATTCTATTTGCATCTTCAAGAGCTAATACTTGATTTATTATTTATTAAATAGAGACTAAATCTTTTAAATAAGCTGATATTACTGCTAATTTTCTAATATTATTAGTTTTATTTGTATTATATGCTCTAGTAAATTCTTCTAACCAACTAATTGGATCTTAGTTTTCTTCACTAAAGTTAGAAATATCAACTATTTTTTATTCTCTCATGAATTGATTAATGAGTGCTTGTATATTATTTTGCACATTATTATTCAAGATATTTAAAATATTATTTTGTTGTGAAATTATAGCAATTAATTATTAAAATGTCACTGTCAAAAATTTTGAAAATCAGCTTGTTGTGCCATGTTGCCTTGAAATAATAAGTCTAAATTAAATCTTCTGATATATTGTCTTCACTATCTTCTTGTTGAATTATAATTTGATCAATATAATCTTCTGAATCTATTTCAAATATTGTGTTTGTAAGTGAAACTATTATTAAAGTATTGGTAAATCTATCAGTTTCTTGTAATACTTCTATAATGATGACATTTAAGTATTATCTTTTACCAAAGTTGAGTTGAGTATTATATAAGATTGAATCAAGTAAGTTAGTAATTAATCTTTTTTGTTGTTTTTCAGTGATTATGATTAAGTAAACTAATTAATTAAATATTATTTGTGATTGTTAGTTATATACTGTTACTGTAGTAACATAAATTTTTCTAATTCGATAATCTTTCTTTGATTATGTGAAATTCCCTTTTTCTTAATTTTTATTATTTATCACCTGATTATTATTATTTTTATCCAATCGTATAATTATCTCACTTTTATTTTATTACCCTAAATCTTATA